CACACACACACACACACACACACTCTGAGGTGTCCCTGTTTGCAGATGACGTGAAGTTGATGAGAAGAATTCACTCGATCGAAGACCAGGCAGAACTACAAAGGGATCTGGACAGGCTGCAGACCTGGTCCAGCAATTGGCTCCTGGAGATCAATCCCACCAAGTGCAAAGTCATGAAGATTGGGGAAGGGCAAAGAAGGCCGCAGACGGAGTACAGTCTAGGGGGTCAGAGACTACAAACCTCACTCAAGGAAAAAGATCTTGGGGTGAGTATAACACCAGGCACATCTCCTGAAGCGCACATCAACCAAATAACTGCTGCAGCATATGGGCGCCTAGCAAACCTCAGAACAGCATTCCGACATCTTAATAAGGAATCATTCAGGACCCTGTACACCGTGTACGTTAGGCCCATATTGGAGTATGCGGCACCATTTTTGGAACCCACACCTAGCCAAGCACGTTAAGAAACTAGAGAAAGTGCAAAGGTTTGCAACAAGACTAGTCCCAGAGCTAAGAGGTATGTCCTACGAGGAGAGGTTAAGGGAAATCAACCTGACGACACTGGAGGACAGGAGAGATAGGGGGGACATGATAAAGACATACAAAATACTGAGAGGAATTGACAAGGTGGACAAAGACAGGATGTTCCAGAGATTGGACATAGTAACAAGGGGACACAGTTGGAAGCTGAAGACACAGATGAATCACAGGGATGTTAGGAAGTATTTCTTCAGCCACAGAGTAGTCAGTAAGTGGAATAGTTTGGGAAGCGATGTAGTGGAGGCAGGATCCATACATAGCTTTAAGCAGAGGTATGATAAAGCTCACGGCTCAGGGAGAGTGACCTAGTAGCGATCAGTGAAGAGGCGGGGCCAGGAGCTCGGACTCGACCCCCGCAACCTCAACTAGGTGAGTACAACTAGGTGAGTACACACACACACACACACACACACACACACACACACCATGCATGGTTTGAAAATTGGGCATACAAGAACCAAAGGGGGGGATAAACAACTACACCAGCTCAACGATAATTACCTAAAAGAGACCACTGAACTGGAGGTCAACTCTCTGTATGCACAAAGGAGTACAAACTGGCCAGTACGTAAGCACCAACACACTCGACCAATTTATCATATTATATATATATGTTATATATATATATATATATATATATATATATATATATATATATATATATATATTATGGGTCCACCTCTGGTGTAAATTGTGGGACCCATAGCTTCAGGGAAGAATATCTGGATTTATATATATATATATATATATATATTCAACAAGTCGGCCGTCTCCCACCGAGGCAGGGTGACCCAAAAAAGAAAGAAAATCCCCAAAAATAAAATGCTTTCATCATCATTCAACACTTTCACCACACTCGCACATTATCACTGTTTTTGCAGAGGTGCTCAGAATACAACAGTTTAGAAGCATATACGTATAAAGATACACAACATATCCCCCCAAACTGCCAATATCCCAAACCCCTCCTTTAAAGTGCAGGCATTGTACTTCCCATTTCCAGGACTCAAGTCCACTATATGAAAATAACCGGTTTCCCTGAATCCCTTCACTAAATATTACCCTGCTCACACTCCAACAGATCGTCAGGTCCCAAGTACCATTCGTCTCCATTCACTCCTATCTAAGACGCTCACGCACGCTTGCTGGAAGTCCAAGCCCCTTGCCCACAAAACCTCCTTTACCCCCTCTCTCCAACCCTTTCGAGGACGACCACTACCTCGCCTTCCTTCCCCTATAGATTTATATGCTTTCCATGTCATTCTACTTTGATCCATTCTCTCTAAATGACCAAACCACCTCAACAACCCCTCTTCTGCCCTCTGACTAATACTTTTGTTAACTCCACACCTTTTCCTAATTTCCACAATCCGAATTTTCTGCATAATATTTACACCACACATTGCCCTTAGACTGGACATCTCCACTGCCTCCAACCGTCTCCGCGCTGCTGCATTTACCACCCAAGCTTCACACCCATATACGAGTGTTGGTACTACTATACTTTCATACATTCCCTTCTTTGCCTCCATAGATAACATTTTTTGACTCCACATATACCTCAATGCACCACTCACCTTTTTTCCCTCATCAATTCTATGATTAACCTCATCCTTCATAAATCCATCCGCCGACACGTCAACTCCCAAGTATCTGAAAACATTTACTTCTTCCATACTCCTCCTTCCCAATTTGATATCCATTTTTATCTAAATCATTTGATACCCTCATCACCTTACTCTTTTCTATGTTCACTTTCAACTTTCTACCTTTACACACATTCCCAAACTCATCCACTAACCTTTGCAATTTTTCTTTAGAATCTCCCATAAGCACAGTATCATCAGCAAAAAGTAACTGTGTTAATTCCCATTTTGAATTTGATTCCCCATAATTTAATCCCACCCCTCTCCCGAACACCCTAGCATTTACTTCCTTTATAACCCCATCTATATTATTATTATAATCAAGGGGAAGCGCTAAACCAGGAGGATTATACAGCGCCTGGAGGGGGGATGTGGAAGGCATTCAGGCTTAATTCGGGGAACTGGAGCACAGATCCAATTTCCTAAATCAAGAGCCCCTCACCAACATCAAGGAACCTTCCTTGAGGGGTACAACCCCATCTATAAATATATTAAACAACCATGGTGACATTACACATCCCTGTCTAAGACCTACTTTTACCGGGAAGTATTCTCCCTCTCTTCTACACACCCTAACCTAAGCCTCACTATCCTCATAAAAACTCTTTACAGCATTTAGTAACTTACCACCTATTCCATATACTTGCAACATCTGCCACATTGCTCCCCTATCCACTCTATCATATGCCTTTTCTAAATCCATAAATGCAATAAAAACTTCCCTACCTTTATCTAAATACTGTTCACATATATGCTTCAATGTAAACACTTGATCTACACATCCCCTACCCACTCTGAAACCTCCTTGCTCATCCGCAATCCTACATTCTGTCTTACCTCTAATTCTTTCAATTATAACCCTACCGTACACTTTTCCTGGTATACTCAATAAACTTATTCCTCTATAATTTTTACAATCTCTTTTGTCCCCTTTCCCTTTATATAAAGGGACTATACATGCTCTCCGCCAATCCCTAGGTACCTTCCCCTCTTTCATACATTTATTAAACAAAAGTACCAACCACTCCAACACTATATCCCCCCCTGCTTTTAACATTTCTGCTATGATCCCATCAGTTCCAGCTGCTTTACCCCCCTTTCATTTTACGTAATGCCTCACGTACCTCCCCCACACTTACATTCTGCTCTTCTTCACTCCTAAAAGATGGTATACCTCCCTGACCAGTGCATGAAATTACCGTCTCCCTTTCTTCCTCAACATTTAAAAGTTCCTCAAAATATTCTCGCCATCTACCTAATACCTCCCTCTCCCCATCTACTAACTCCCCTACTCTGTTTTTAACTGACAAATCCATACTTTCTCTAGGCTTTCTTAACTTGTTTAACTCACTCCAAATTTTTTTCTTATTTTCATTAAAATTTCATGACAGTGCCTCTCTCACTCTATCATCTGCTCTCATTTTGCACTCTCTCACCACTCTCTTTCACCTTTCTTTTACTCTCCATATACTCTGCTCTTCTTATAACACTTCTGCTTTGTAAAAACCTCTCATAAGCTAACTTTTTCTCTTTTATCACACCCTTTACTTCATCATTCCACCAATCACTCCTCTTTCCACCTGCCCCCACCCTCCTATAACCACAAGCTTATGCCCCACATTCTAATACTGCATTTTTAAAACAGTTCCAACCCTCTTCAACCCCCCCACTACTCATCTTTGCACTAGCCCACCTTTCTGCCAACAGTCGCTTATATCTCCCCCGAACTTCCTCCTCCCTTAGTTTATACACTTTCACCTCCCTCTTACTTGTTGTTGCCACCTTCCTCTTTTCCCATTTACCTCTTACTCTAACTGTAGCTACAACTAAATAATGATCCGATATAGAGTTGCCCCTCTATAAACATGTACATCCTGGAGCCTACCCATCAACCTTTTATCCACCAATACATAATCTAACAAACTACTTTCATTACGTGCTACATCATACCTTGTATATTTATTTATCCTCTTTTTTCATAAAATATGTATTACTTATTACCAAATCTCTTCCTACACATAGCTCAATTAAAGGCTCCCCATTTACATTTACCCCTGGCACCCCAAATTTACCTACTACTCCCTCCATAACTTTTTACCCACTTTAGCATTGAAATCCCAACCACCATTACTCTCACACTTGATTCAAAACTCCCCACGCATTCACTCAACATTTCCCAAAATCTCTCTCTCTCCTCTTACATATATGTTATATATATATTATATATATATATATATATATATATATATATATATATATATATATAATATATATATATATATATATATATATATATATATATATTAATTTAAAATGGCAACAGGGCTTTCGCAACTTTGCAGGCTGCCACGATCCTTACAACAACAACAAAACAAAAAAAGAAAACGCAGAAAGATGATCAGGGTTTATAGTCATTCATAAGAAACTATTTCTAGAAAACTATTCAACAATTTTCCTTTCAGATGTAGTCTTCAAATATAATAAAACTTGCATAAAATGGAGTTTTGCAGCTGTTGATGACTAGTAAGTAAAGAAGAATACCCATAGCCTAGTATTTATCAATAATTTTATTATGTGACATTTAATCATATAAATTCCACTGGTTCATTGAAACACATCACATACACCTTAAAGTGAATTATTCAGTTTATATAATTATGTGAGCTTTGAAAACAAAATACATTAAAAAACATACATACATTAGGCAAATAAATTAAGGTAGCAGATTGAAAATTTTTTTGTTGAATCCAAGATCAGAGGTACTCGAGATAAAACAAGTTAATGTTCATCCATTTTTTTTATTTTCCTCAGGTCCCCTGGGCGCGACGTACCAGAAAAGGAGATAACAGAATTTGAGGCGGCGGCGAGGTACGGCGACGAGAATGGAGAGGACTGTCAATACGAGTATCCTTGCCTGGTCCAGCCCCTCGACCTCATCCTCCTTATATACAACTACTGGCACCGGGACGAGTAGATGGTCCCTGGCGACCACTGAGGCAGCCGCTGCAGCACAGCGGCGCCAACATCGAAGATGACAGAGTTGAGAATGGGAGAGTTTGAAACTCTGGTTGCTCAAGATGGCCCCGTGGCTAGAACCCTGTCGTCGGCTGCTTGCTTCGGCATTCTTGCGTCTACCTATCTAATATTTTACAGATATCAACATGCAGTACTTGCACTGGTTTATGTCACTACGATAAACTAATAATAAAGACTTTTGTTTGAGACTGTGAGTTGTCTTGTACAAGACATTCATTAAAGTAACCACTAAACTGACATGCGCACAGAGAGGTAAGAGTGATGAACATTAAGGCATAAATGTGTATCGCTTCACTGTAACCGAAATAAACTAAAGACGAGTGAATATAAGAAACTCACTGGCCACTTTAGTGCGAATGTTATTCATACTAAAGGTATTACGATTATTATAGGTAACTCAATTTCTCAATGGTAGAGCTTCCATAGTGTGTACAATAAAATGACTGTCATAAACTCATGAAAAATCGAGTTTAAAAGAGTTTACTTTCAAGTGAATTCTTAAGCAGATTGACTAATTAGAAAATGACAAAATTATTAGCGAGAGATGAGTTATTTCTTATCTGAGTGAACAATGCGTCCTTGAGAAACGCCAGACCTGGTCATTAAGGCATGACTGGCAAGCAAACTATACGTTATATACTACAAATAAAATAAAATGAATTAAAAAAAAAAGACCGGCAAGATACACGAAAATGTCTAGAGAAGAATTTTAAAACGGTCAAGTCATCGTCGAACAGAAATGTCTGCTCCTATTAGGCCCAGACAGAAAAACATCACCCTGAATGATGAACAGAGTGGCTGTGACCACGAAATACAAGATGTGATCTAATAATACAAATTCGGTGAAGTGACTGACCTGCAACGACCAACATGGAGAGGACAATAGACTATTACAGACGTGTTCTGCGAATATTACAGAATGAACGGAGTTTTATGCTACTCTTCTGGGTCAAACAAGTTTGCTTTGATGAGAAGCGTGCAGATTTTTGTATATCACTATGACAGTGATACTCTCCTGGAGCGCATTCCTGTAGTGCCCTGCAAATAATCTATCACAAATCCAACCAAAAGTATTCGGTTGTTCTGAAAATGTACGAAGCTTTCACTAACATTTTCATCGATAAACTGGAAATTTTTTTTAATCCAATTACTATTATGTAAAGTAAAAGGGCACAAGTGCAACTAATGTGACATTTATTGTGGCAACGTTTCGCTCTCCAGGAGCTTTATCAAGCTTTATCAAGGCTTGATAAAGCTCCTGGAGAGCGAAACGTTGCCACAATAAATGTCACATTAGTTGCACTTGTGTCCTTTTACTTTACATATTGTCGGTAATTCTACCAACTTTATTACAATTACTATTATATTTAGGGGGAAGCGTTAAACCCATAGGGGTCTAGCGTCTGGGGAATAGAAGGAATTCAGGTTCGTTCCAAGGATGGGGAGTACGAGTCCAATGCTTTCGAACAGTAGCTCTGTGCCCACATCAAGGAACCTTTCTTGAGGGTTCTTTTGAATCCAGACTAAACACAGAATTACTGATAAATTCACGACACATGTACGGTGACCCAAAAAAAAAAAAAAAAACTCACCATCACTCACTCTATCACTATCTTGCCAGATAGGTGCCGATACTACAGTTCAGATGCCCCTCCAAACTGCAACTGCCACACACACACACACACACACACACATATAAAATATATAAAATATATATATATATATATATATATAAATATATATATATATATATATATATATATATAAGTTGAAAGTGAACATAGAAAAGAGTAAGGTGATGAGGGTATCAAATGATTTAGATAAAGAAAAATTGGATATCAAATTGGAGAGGAGTAGTATAGAAGAAGTGAATGTTTTCAGATATTTGGGTGTTGACGTGTCAGCGGATGGATTTATGAAGGATGAGGTTAATCATAGGACTGATGAAGGAAAAAAAACTGAGTGGTGCGTTGAGGTATATGTGGAGACAAAAAACGTTATCTATGGAGGCAAAGAAGGGAATGTATGAAAGTATAGTAGTACCAGCACTCTTATATGGGTGTGAAGCTTGAGTCGTAAATGCTGCAGCGAGGAGACGGTTGGAGGCAGTGGAGATGTCCTGTCTAAGGGCAATGTGTGGTGTAAATATTATACAGAAAATTCAAAGTGTGGAAATTAGGAGGTGTGGAGTTAATAAAAGTATTAGTCAGAGGGCTAAAGAGGGGTTGTTGAGGTGGTTTGGTCATTTAGAGAATGGATCAAAGTAGAATAACATCGAGAGCGTATAAATCTGTAAGGGGTAGGGGTCGTTCTCGAAAAAGTTGGAGGGAGGGGGTAAAGGAGGTTCTGTGGGCGGGGGGCTTGGACTTCCAGCAAGCGTGCGTGAGCGTGTTAGATGGTAGTGAATGGAGACGAATGGTATTTGGGACCTGATGAGCTGTTGGAGTGTGAAATAAATTTTGAAGGGATTAGGGAAACCGGGAGGGGGATTTGATCCTGGAATGGGAAGTACAGTTTTCCCTTAAGGAGGGGTTTAACGTTTGAGTTTTAAAAATGTAGTGTAAAACCCTCTGGGAAACAGTATGGATAAGAAAGGTAAAGTTTTTTTTTTGGGCCCACCCCCGCCCGGGGGGAATCGGCCGTGTATAATAAAAAAAAAATATATATATAATTATTTTTTAATTTTTTTTTATAATAAAATTATTTAAATTAAAATGGGTTAAAAAAAATTTCCCAAATTTAAATTTTTTTTTTTTTTAAAAATTGAAAAAAATATTAAATTATATTTAATAAAAAAAAAGGGTATTAAAATTAAAAATAAAATTTTTTATTAAAATTTTAAAATTTAAATTTTTTAAATAAATATAAAATTTTTTATATATATTGATTAAAATAAAATTTATAAATTTAAAAAATTTTATTAATATAATTATTAAATTTTAATTTTTTTATTAAAAAAATATATTAAAAAATTAAAATATAATAATTTTTATAAATGTAAATTTTTTTTTTATTTTAATTTATAATAAAAAAAAATATATATATATATATTTTATATATATATATTATTATATATATATATATATATATATATATATATATATATATATATATATAAAATATGCAAAAAAACCACTCTGAAAGAATAGAGAAATTCCAAGCGTTTTCGTGACTACTCACATTATCAAGGAACAAAGAAAGTAAAGCATCCAAGGAAGCTATATAAGGGTCGGCCGCACCTCACTATCAGATCCCACAACGGTTAAACACCTGACGCGCGCCGACCCAACTTGGATAGGGCCTTTGCACAACTCACCCCACAAACTATTCTAACCCAAGAAAATTTAAAAATTATTTGTCCAGTGTATTATTAAATTCTTCCCAAATTCTATTAATTATAAATGGATCTAATTTATATAAACCAAAGGAAATATTCATATTATTGTCAAAACTGCTTTTTATGAAACAAGATTCAATTATATTTCCCGTCGACCATGGACTTGCTTGATACTACTTTCTCAACTTTTTGAAAATCAATTGGATGGTTAAAATCTCTTACATGAATAAATAGAGCATTGGAGATTTTAACCATCCAATTGATTTTCAAAAAGTTGAGAAAGTAGTAATCAAGCAAGTCCATGGTCGACAGGAATATAATTGAATCTTGTTTCATAAAAACAGTTTTGACAATAAATATGATATATTTCCATTTTTGAGTTTATATAACTTAGATCATGTTATAATTAAAATATCGAATTTGGGGAAGTTTAACTAATACACTGGACAAATAATTATAGCATTTTGTGCTTGGTAAATAGTTTTGTGTGAGTTGTGCAAAGACCTTACCAGTTGTCGGCGCGCGTCATGTTTTAACCGTGTGGGATCTGCATATGAGTGCTGGCCAACCCTTATATAGCTCCTGATGCTTACTTTCATAGTATCCTTAATAAAGTAGTATTATCACAAAGCGCTTGGAATATTCTCTATATATTATCAGAGTGAGTTGTATTGCATATTCTGAAATCACCTGTATACGTGATCTAATGCATATATATATATATATATAAATAATATATATATATATATATATATATATATATATATATATATATATATATATATATATATATATATATATACACCTAAGAGGTCATACGTTAATATATATGACTTACATAAATAAAACTTGCATCAATGTAACCCCTGTATAGTGTAACTGGTAGATACTATTCAAGTTATATTCCAAAGAATTACTTATTGGCTTACTTCAAAATGAAGAGGTTATAATTCTTAACCTATAGGTCAAAGTGAGCTTAGATTTTCAAAAGTGAGACCTTGAATACCATATCTGAAGAGATGGTAGAATTCTGGGCACTGTTTGTCTTGCCCCAGAACTCCAAGTGTCAAACACTCATTAATGAACAAGAAAATTCCACTTGAACGGTAAATCATACGCGTTGTAGGAATAAACTGGGGTAGAAACACACGGAGTAAGAAAAAAAATCTATATATTTCGGATTTGCGCTGTATGATCCATTCGGGTATGGCGTCTTTTTGCAAATATTAATAATGTGTATTTCCAACCCCCAAAGATCCTCTTCATGCCTATGAAAAGGTTTATTTTTAGTCTGAAATACATGTATCTGTATGACTTTGTCTTCTGTCTACATAACAAATACTTTTAATAATTATACAAGTATTATTATGAGTTAACATATAACAAGTCAGAGTTCATACCTAATACCAACAAGTACTATGTCGTTAAGACATGTGCACCACTAGGATATATTTTATTTAGGAAAACTCACCAGCAGCTTCGTCACTCGGAGGCTCCTAGTGAGCAAAGTTTCCTTAATAAAATATGCTAGTGCTTCCCATATGTTGTAATTACAAGACAGAGGTTGTGGTGTCTGTCATATTTCATGAGAAGTGAT